CATAAACACCTACCGTGAGAGGTGTTAGCCAAGATTTGTCCTTTGGCTTCATTAGCAGCTCTTGCAGCTTCCATTTGAGCCTCTTTTTTCAATTTTTCTTCCATTAGTGTTGCGTGTGTAATTGCCAAACCAATTTGATTTGAAATTTGTTCGACAAACTCTTTTTCCGAATCTAACCAAATACTGTTTGGTGGTCTATAAGTAAACAGCCATCCCCAGGTTGATGAGTTCGTTTTAATTGGCGTGAAAATCGTGGAAACGTATTCACCAACTAATCTCGAGTATATATTTTCCCTCACAACCATGTTAGGTCTACATTGAAGGATCCGAAATGTCTCCGAAATTGGCTCAAATGGAACGCCTGAAGGGGTTTTATCATTATCTGAAATTATATGATCTAGTGGTTTTCCCACATGCTCGTGTTCGTTTGGATAGATGGACGCCAAAGCGATTAGATAAAACTCCTTGCAATTCTCAGAGTTAGTGTTAATGATAAATACCCGTTCACTGGGTAATATCTTTTGAATTTGTCTAACGACGGAGGCTAGCGTTTCTTTTATATTAAATCCAGAACGAATTTTTTGATTTATAGAAAATAGTAGATCTTTGGTTTCTAATTGCCATTTTTGCTGCAATAATAATTTCCGACGAATACACGAGAGTTTAATGTTGGCTCTGACTCGAACAATCAACTCCCTAGCACAAAACGGTTTTATCAAATAATCATCCGCTTCTTTTTCTAACACAAAAAGAGAAACACGGAGCCTGAGAATGACACAAAAATCGAATAAAAAGAGAACGGTTAAATTATTCACCCTCTATGCTAGCGTTCTTGCCCATTTTTGTGGATAGCCAAATCACCGGAATAAACTGATTCTCCGGATCGGATCTAAGCGCGTTCAAACCGTTCATGTTTTGTGTGTTTATGTCTGTTGAAGATGATAGAAGAAGTGCATACCATGAATTTATCATGCGACCGAATTAGCTCATACACATAAAGATTTCCCTTACCACATAAAATCAAATCAGGTGGTTCAGGAAGCTTCCTCAGTATCTCTAAAGCATCGAGACCATCACAGGCGGTGTGTAATTCAAATTCTTTGTTCAATAGTCCAAAGACAGTAGGACAAAAAACTTCAACAAGAACAATAACTACAACCAGGAGAAAGCTATACACAACACCTCTAACTACTTTAACTTAACTGACCGCTCAGGAAAAGTTCAGCTAAGAATTAAAGGCAACTCATTTCCAC